ACGATTGCCTATTAATGATTTTCACTGCATTGTACTTTTGTCTATGCAAAAATAGTTCAAACATTGAAAACAGTTAAGAATTTCACGCACCAGCGCATGAAAGCTGAATTCGAAACTTGAACGGTGAATATGTCTCCGTGATTCCCGAGTTAATAGTTTACCCGCCAAAATTTTCACGAGGCCGTAGGTGACACTAAAGAACGCGGGAAAGCTGAATTTGAATGGGCAAGGTTGAGCGTGGACAGGAGGTCATTACCCTAAAATTTCAGCCTCATAGATCCCGTAGTTCTTGAGATATTAATTTACCCGTAAAAAATTTCCAAGGGGCCGTACCTGTTACCCGCGAGTACGGGAAGGCTGAATTTAAATTTGACGCGTCACCCATGGGCGGGAAACACTACACCAAAATTTCAGCCGCCTAGCTTTTGTGGTTCTCGAGTTGAAAGTGCGAGACAAAATGTGGGACACACACAAAAACACACACATACAGACAACTCCGTGACAATATGCGTTTTTTAACGTTGTTACACAGCACAAAACGCATAAAAAAAAGGAAGCACAACCAGGTACAGCAGCACAGAACGGGGTGCTGCTCCAGGTGCAAATTTTCAAATATTTTTGCGAAATTACTGCCAATAACAATTCTAACTGAAACTGCACCACTTCGTCACATTCCGTTGCTGAGACCGGCATTCCCCTACTTTCTCTTTTTATCTCTTCCCCATTATTAACAGCTCTAGTAACCATAAATGGGGCCATTAAACTCCGATTACAATCATCGAAAATATTATTTTCGCCCTTCTAGCTCGCATAACTGCACAAAGCGGCTGACAGAAGAAACAGCAATTTAAAGACAAACAAAAATAAATAGCAACGTGCACCAGACTAGCCGGCGCGATCATGCGTTTTGTGCAATTCAACCCATCGAACGATCACCTATTAATGATTTTCACTGCGTTGCACTTTTGTCTATGCAGAAACAGTTCAAACATTGGAAAATAATTAAAAATTTCACGCACCAGCGCATGAAAGCTGAATTCGGAACCTTGAAGGGTGAATATCTTCCCATGATTCCCGTGTTAATAGTTTAACCGCCAAAATTCTCACGAGGCCGTAGGTGATACCCAACAGTGAGGAAACGCTGAATTTGAATAGGCAAGGTTGCCAGCGCAGGGGATTATTACCGTAAAACTTCAGTTTCCTAGACTCCATGGTTCCCGAGATATTAATTTACTCATAAAAAACTCTCACGGAGCCGTACGTGTTAACCGTGGGTAAGGAGAGGCTGAATTTAAATTTGCCGCGTCACCAGTTAGCGGGGAACACTACACCAAAATTTTAGCCGTCTAGCTTTTGTGGTTTCCGAGTTGAAAATGCGGGACA